GTTCCCAGGCAATAGTCAATCCACATTGTGCTTCCATAGCGACCGGTCGTGGATGGCGGCGATGGTGCCACGACGGTCGACCGACCGCTCCGGACGAAGAACGCTGAAGGTGTTCGATTGGAAGTATCGCGCTCTCCTGAAGACTCCTGACCCTCAAATACATGACATGGCCCGGACATGCCCGGACCCCTGTTTTCATAGGGAGAAGCTCCGACCGAAGGCCATGCTGGCAGGCCCACATGGTTGATGAGCCACCCGCTGTGTTCAACGGCCATTCATCCATCAATCCATTCATAGTAATACGCCATACGCAAGATGGTCTTGTCACTGGACCGGGATTCGAGATGATGTAGAATACAAACGACAAGAGAAAGTGCGACAGCAAATTTCAAATGCTGTGCTCGGGCCCATGCGATATGCTCGGGGGCTTTGGAGGCTATCAAAAAATAATCCCTCACGCATACTTCTAAACGAAAGGCTCATTGGACCCTCATAGCTAGCAGCTAGGGTCTTGACCCTCACAACTAGGGTTTTGGACCTCAAACATGTAGCAGTTGGTTCGGGTCCATCAGCGTCTGGGAAACGAAAAACCGAAAGAGCTGGAAGACTCCAACCGAGCCGATCTCCACGCCTCGGGTACGTCGGTCTTCACTTCCTCGAGCGACTTCCCCGGCCTGGACGATCGAGACCCGGCAGACCGGGCAAAATGCGGAGAGACATGGCCACGCTCTGACTCGCTAACATGGCAGTGGAGAATGATCGGAAGAATCACGGGGGGTGCGCCATCCACTTCCATGTGATGTGTTCAACGACCGAAACGTTCGGATGCCGAACGTTTAAGGATCCGGGAGCAAAGTCCCTCAGGAGACCTCCGCGGATTTTCCGAATTCGGCCTCCCCTCCACGAAAAAACAAAAAATGTAATATAAAGAATCGCATCGCATTCGCATCATTCTCCATCCAGCGGAGTGGACAATGAATTAACGATCATTCATGTTGAGGATTTCGTCGTTGAACGCCGTTGATGGCATGAGTGGCTTCGGGGAATGAAAGAATTTGCTGTAATAAAAAGGGATCCATGGATATACCTTCTCAGGTTCGGTATCCTCCTAGACCCGACGTTTTTGGCACCAAAGAACAGATAAAGAACATATCACCAGCCACCTGAGGTTCGGTCTCCTGGATCCCTGGGGATCGACTTAACGTCCACAGCTCCGGCGCCTGAGGTGTTCTTTCAGCTTCGGCGCCTGGCGGACAACGACTCGCCCTTCGGACCCGTCGGACGTCGCCTCGGCCCGGCCCGGTACCTACCGGTGGTGGAACCGGGTCGGTTCGTAAAGGGAAAACACACGTCGCTGAGGTGGAACGGTGAAATAGCACAAGATCACAAAACAAAAGCCATCCCAAATGACCAGAACTCCTCAGAAGTCCCTCAAATCCCAGGACCCTCCAGAAGCGCCTTTTTACATCATCGATTGACATCAACAGGTGTGCAGCAGCTCTTGAAATGCGGCACAGTATGGCACAGCGGCATATTTGCTTGGGCTCTATTAAGTGAAGGAAAGCAAAGCCACTGCCGGTCCATGCTTCTAACTCTTTGCTGTCACGAGGTGCGCTTGTCTTGGAGCTGGAAGCCCATCTGTCGGGAACATGTTTGCCTTCTTGCATACTAATGCTTTTAAAACCTTATCAAAGGCAATCTGAGTGCTTCCCTCAATCCAAGCTACAAAAGGTCAATGCAGTATTGCATGAATATGGTGTGGCATGAAGGAACTGCGGTACGCCACTAGCAGGAGCGACTTCTCTTCGAGTCGTATGCCTCTACCCAGATGTACCTTTCTGGAGGTTTTGAGCTGGAAACCAGAAATGGAGGGATTTCGATAGGAAATGGTTCATTTCCTGGTTATATCCCCCTAAGAATGAGTTTGGTGTGAGTGGATTTCTATTGCGCTGGCGGTTTTGCTGTGTTTGGTGGTAACTTGCATGTCAGGAGGCATGTGCGCATTCATGACATTTCATGAAATGTTAGGGTTCATGTACACATTCATGACATTCATGACATGTCAGGTTTCACGACATGTGCACGTTCATGGTTTGTTTTGCATCTTGTTGTGTTTATGAATTTTACATGTTCATGAGGCCATTCACAACATTTCACTACATTCATATACATGTTCTCCGCAGCTGTTCGGGCTTTTGTTTGCACCTCCTTGGGGGTGGTGGTCAGGTACTCAAGGGGTCATTTGGTGTTGGTATGTTGGTCCTTGGTTTCCTCTTCTGAGCCTTTCTTCTGCAGCCGTTTTGGCTTCATTCATGACTGTGACTCGCACCTTTTCCAGGGGGCAGGCTTGGGTGTTTGTTTGCAGCATATTGATCTGAGACATGTTTGTTGGGGAAGTACATATTGTCGCCGCCGCAAACCAGAGGAAGGCAAAAGGGAAGAAGTGCAGCGTGTCCTTTGCTCAGCTTGCTTTTTGCGTCTGTTATTGTTCAATTTTGAGATTTGTGGAATATCATTGCTGCAGGCTACACGGTCGAAGGTTGAATTCCCTACATGGAGGCGCGACCTGGAATTTGTGACAGTGGCTAAGACTCCGCCAAACAATATTCGTGGTATCTGAAGTATATTCGTTGCATCTGGGGTCTGCGACAAGAGTGTCCTACAAGAGTGCCCCACAAGAGTGTGCCATAAGAGTGTCCGTCTTACAAGAGTGTCCCACAAGAGCGACATACAAGAGTGTTGCACAAGTGTGTCCCACAAGAGTGTCCTACAAGAGTGTTTCGCAAGAGTGTCCTGCAAATGTGTTCCGCAAGGGTGTCCCACACGAGTGAGTGTCATACAAGAGCGCCCCACAAGAGTGACATACAAGAGTGTGATGGCTGGCTATTCTTGTGCTCAAGTTGGTGGTTGAGCTGAGTGGCTTGAAGTTAAATGGTGACTGGCTCTGGTGAAGCATGGGTTGTGGCCATTGATGATTGAGCTGAGGGTTTTGAGGTTAAGTGGTGACTTGCTCTGGGGGAGCATGGGTTGTGGCCGTGGGTGATTGAGCTGAGGGGTTGGAGATTAAGTGGTGACCAGCGATTCTTGGGCCCTAGGGCTAATTCGTGGCATCTAGGGCTAACTTGAGTGAGGTGCTTCTCTTGAGCGCTACTAATTACCTTCTTTCCAGGAATGGTTTGGCCAATGCACTGGGTTTCAAGTCATGTCTATTTATGTGTTGGCCCCAACAAAAAATAGTATGTGAATAAACTAATCATCTATGACTGAGATCCCCCAAGTCACATCTGAATAGACTATCTATGACTGAGACCTCCCAAGTCACATCTGAATCAACTATGTATACGACTTGGACCCACCAAATCAAATCACATCTGAACAAACTATGTAGTGGGGGAGGGTGTATCATCGAGAGACCGCAAAAGAAAAAACAAAAAGATCGGGTCAAATCTTTATGCACATTCCTTAGTTCAAACTTTGGCGCCTAACACACATGACGGTGCCTTGTCCTGCAAAAAAACACAAACCAGAAAGCGCACAATGCCACAAACATTGTTTGAAGCAGCACCGTGTGAACATTCTAGACATGCTGTTGTCCTTCTCACTGGATTTTCTTCTTGAACCAGGATTTGTTCGGCGATTTTCCTGGAACATCACCGAAACCAAAAACCTCCAAACACATCTTATGCGAACATTTTTCAATTGTGGTGTTTTGTGTTTGAAAACACGTTCAGTTTTTTTGTGTGTGTTCTTTTCTCTTTGTGTTGTGTGTTTTGCAAATTAATTTTGCAGTTCTGTTCGACCGTGTTTGGCATATCGTTGCCCTGACCTTCCCAAAGTTCCCAGGAACCTTCTTCCCATGTCCCTCATGGTCCCCATTCTTCGTGGTGTTTCTTGAATCCGGATTTTTCATTGCTCTGACACATTGAATTGTTTTTGAAAAACAAGCAAAGGAATACGACCGATCAAATCAAAATGCCACCATCGCTCACAAGAGGTTAGTGTGCCAATGTCAAGTGAACATAATCGATAGAGTGGATACTTAGCCAAGAGCTAGTATGAAATCTCCAAGATATACTACATTCCACAGAGAAAACAAAAGACATCAACATGGTTGTCGAAAAAAAGTAAATTCCCATCCATTACGTTCATTCGTTATCCTCCGAGGAACAGAGTTCAGCCATGAATTACAAGGAACAAGTTCTGAGAGAAAAAATCCCCTCATTGATGTTAAATGACACGTATCTCAAAGATGAATGCAAAAAAGTGAATGAACACCTGAGAAGGGACCTGGGACCTCTCAAGAAAATCACAAAAGTGCGGTTTAAAGTTTAACGGAAATCAAGTCAACCACAAATTTCAGTCAAACAAGTCATGTTGAAGGCTGCCTCAAGGACGAATCCCAGAGATGAACCCTTAACGAATCCTAGAAGAGAGCACCAAACAAGAACCAAGTCACACTTGAATTTCAGAGAACACAGAGAAACGCTCAAGACACATGTCATGGCAGAAACACGATACTCACAGGAACAAATTCACAAACCTATGTTAGAGGTCAATCTCATGGATGAGAAGGAAGAGAAGGAAGAGAAGGAAAAGAAGAAGGAAAAAAAACACAGCCAGGTTCTGGCAAGCACAAGAGGGGCAAAAAAAGGCGGGAAGAGAAAGCAAAGGCTGCAGACATGGAGCTAGCTTTGCAGCCAAGAGGAACAGCCACAGGTTGGAGTGGAATCCGGCTTTTTGGATGATCCGAGATGATTCGTTGGATGCGTTTGGGATTGGTGCATATTATGGTGCTACTGTGATACCTCGTGAAACACGAAGCTTCCTATAGCTCCGGACGATGCCTTATCAAAGGCTCTCTCGTTTGAGAGAACCCAACTGCCGCCGGGGGATTGAAGGAAAATCAACTGCAGCGGGTCGTCTTTGGACCGCCCAGCCACGAGTCGTGCGCCACGCGAGTTTGGTTCCCATGGTTCTCACCGGCAGGGCCACGCGCGCTTTCACCAGTTGATCCATTCCTTGGGGCCTTCGGATTCATCCTCAGCAAAGATGGCTGGTGTTTGCACGGATCTCATGGCGAAGATCCAAACACTTCGCGTATTTGGCATATGTACCTATACATTGGGTGGTTTGGGGGATAAATGCAGGCATAGTTTAAAAATATTCACGTATATTCGTAAAAGTGTCTGGGAAATGAATATATTATGTATCTTCCAAACGGCCTACACTACACCATTAAATTTGTCCTAATTCCAGTTCCATGGTTTTTTTAATCAAGCATCATCGCTGTCCAAGAAGAGACGTGGTGCGCCTGCAGAAGCCTCATCCTCGAGCTCTTCGGACAAGTCGTGCGTGGTGCCCCCGGTCTCTAAAGTCCTTTCACCAATGGGGCCTCGTTGGAGACGGTTCATCCGGCAAAAACCATCACATGGATATCATACCGGTTGAATATCTGCTGAGGTTTTCAATTTATAAAGGAAGGCCTTAAGAGAATGGTCAGGACAAAGAAAAAATGATCTTCCAGCGGAATCATCAGCAGGCTTTGAAATTCCGCGCGCACATCCATGCACAATTTAAAGATAATAAAGTTAGACTCGTTGAAACCACAGGAGACAACGTTTTAAGCTGCAGTCGACGACTATTCTTGACCTGTTTGGAGGTCGGGCGCCCAACGCTCATGCGCTGGCCGACCCGATCCCCGTCTGCCCCGTCTGGTCGCGGGGACTGTCCCAGCGAAGGAAGCCACCATGCTGCGTGGGCCAAGTGACACACGGTCAATGCATTGAAGCTTTTGCCCCAATCCTCCAAGGACATGAAGAACTTTCCATCGTTGCCTCGGCGTGACCACTCCACGGTTTTTCCCACTGGCGACCTCCACTCAAAACGATGGAACCACCGCGGAGCATGCAAAAAACATGGGGACCGCAGTAGATGCGTATACTTTCACGTACCCCCGAAATGGGTGTTGTCCTTCCAATACAATCCGTTGACATCCCCAGTTGCCAACTCTCCTCATGGCCCAGCGTTGACCCCAGCCAGTCGTCCAGGGAGCATCATAAAGGTCCTGAAAACGGCCCCTGGCACCGTGGTCCCTGCGTCCATCTACTCCTACCATCGACGGTGTGTTGCAGGAAAAAACACTATTTGATACGAAGGTGAAGGACTTTGGACAGTCGAGTTCACCAAACATGGATACCTATATTGTGAGAAACTGGTTCCAATCTCTTACAAACGCGGAGGCAGTTGATAGAAATCACCTGAGTGATGTCTTCAAGACACACTATCCATCATCACTATCCTGATTCATGCGATGGGCGGATCAATCGACTCTTCCAGAAAAAAAGGTGCCAGAGGTGCCAATAATGTTTATACAGTCCAAATAGTCCAAATTTGGGGTGGGTACTGGGGTGGTATGAATCCAGGGTCTACATCAACACCCCACTTCAGACGTAAGAGCGTACCCAAACACCGCACGGCCGCACCGAACACAGGCGAGCCGTTTTCTCTTTCAGGGGGGTCCGAAGTCCGAACCGATCTGTGGACGTCGGTCGGGGTCGGATGCAAGCGGCCACCCGCCATCTTGGTCTTCATCCTTTCATGAAGCTGGGGATTTTGACTCCACAGCTCAGAGTCATCTCCCCAGTCTCCCTTCCATTCCTCGATTCAACCGACTTCGAAAGAAAGGCGACAGCCGGACTTGGAAGGAAGCAAAAGGCAGCCACCTGCAACAAAACAGAACAAAACCAAGTGACCAAGTGATGTAAACATGTGATTGAAATCGCAATACCTTCGAGATCTTTCGAGTGTGTCAAAACAAATGTCGGCAAAACATATAATAACATCTCTTAATTTAATGGTTCAGATTTCAGAGCGCAAAAACAATGGTGGCACTTCTCCAAGAATCCTTGTGGCCCCAAGGGTTTCGGACTTGCATCAGCCGTTGTGGTGTTCCGTCATCACGCGTCTCCTGAATAGGAACTCTGCGGGCGAATGAGAGCGAATGAGACTGCGGGTAATTAAAGGCCCTATGCACCTGCAACGCTTGAAGACTTTGGGAAGTAAACGCTGGACATCTTCAGCTGGCATTTGATTCCTTCGTCTGTAGACTTGTGTTGTTCCTTGCGATGTTGAAACAGCGTGCCTTCACAAGGGATTGCCTTCACAAAATATATCGTTTGGAAGAGAGTGCCTCACCGACTCGGATCTTGAAATGGTCCACTCATCAGAAATCCAAGAGCATAGATCATGTGCAATGGATCGCTTCGACAAGCCAGCACTTCTTGGTTAGATCAGATCCAAGCGGAGAGGTCCAAGCGCGCCCGTTTGCATGTCCCATTAACACTCCTCAACGACTTCCAGCAACGAGTATGCATGCCAAAGCACAATGCCTTTGGCCTGCGCGGGCCACGCTCGTTCACGCCCGCAGGAACCGGCTCCACCGCGCGAGAAGTGCGTTCCACATGCGTTCATGCCATGTCATCCCATGTCACGTGCGAATCGTGACGGAAACGACGCACGACCGAACGGAAAGGTCGGTCGGCCGAAAAGGGCCTTGGCTTCCGGGTTGGCGCCTTCCCATGCGCAGCCCATCAAGTGATCTTTGGTGCCCAAGGCGAGGAGTTCCAGGAAGAGTTCCTCCAGCTCCTTCGACGACATCACGCGCCAAGGATCCGCTCCGACCGAGCCCCCACGTCACCGAAGCGGCGATCGAGGGCGGTCAAACGAATGCAGCTGATCCGCACCGCGAAGGATCTGCATAATTGGGGGGGCGATCTGTGCAAAAGGCCGAATGCTGGGAGCAAAGGGCCAAATCATGCATTTTCAGGAGCAAAGGAGGAGATGGTTGGACGACTGAAAAGATTGAAACATATATACATTTCCAAGGAAGTGCAAGAGCTAGGCATAAACCCCAAGAACTGGTTAAGTCTCCCTAAAAGATCTAAAAGTTCTAGGAACCAAATCATTAATTAGTGCGAGCGCTTCTTCAGGATAAGGATGAAAAACTGATCACTAGGCGACGAGTGGCCCGAAAGCATTTTTCACCGCGTGTGAAGTTAGAACGTGAGTCGTGTGTTAAGTGTTTAAGTGTGAAGTGTTAAGTCTAGTGTGTTGAGTAAGTGTGTGGGTCTCTGTGTGTCTCTACGTGTGTATCCATGTCTGTGTGTGTACAGATCGATGTGCAGATGAAGCGGCAGCGCAACGTTGTGGCTCAGGAGCGCCAACCTTGGTGCATTTCTCGCTGTGTCAGCACAACGCTGAAGAGGTCCGCCACATACTAGAAGCAAACATCATCACATACCACCAATCACCCCTCTCACCAGCGACACGCAGTCGTGTAGGACACTCTTGTGAGACACTCTTGTGGGTCACTCTTGTAGGAAGCTCTTGCGGGGCACTCTTTTGGGACACTCTTGATACCACAATGATCCCGCTCACCAGCGACACGCCGCGTTTACGCCAGCATGTTTCGCGCTCCCCAGTGGCACGGCGCCACGCAAACGCACTTCCCACCAAGGCCGCGCAAATCAAAATGGCACTGCGACATCACGAACGTACTTTGGCCACACGGTCTGTCCAAACACTAGAAGCACACATATCACATGATACCGCCAATCACCCCGCTCACCATCGACACGCCGCGTTTACGCCAGCATGTTTCGCGCTCCCCCGTGGCACGGCGCCACGCAAACGCACTTCCCACCAAGGCCGTGCAAATCGCAATGGCACTGTCAGTGACATCACGAACGTACTTTGGCCACACGGTCTGTCCACACACTAGAAAGCAAACATATCACATAAAACCACCAATGATCCCGCTCACCAGCGACACGCCGCGTTTACGCCAGCATGTTTCGCGCTCCCCAGTGGCACGGCGCTACGCAAACACACTTCCCACCAAGGCCGCGCAAATCCCAATGGCACTGCGACGTCACGAACGTACTTTGGCCACACGGTCCGCCACAGACTAGAAGCAAACATATCACAAGATACCCCTAACCATCCCGCTCACCAGCGCCACGTCGCGTTTACGCCAGCATAATTCGCGCTCCCCAGTGGCACGGCGCCACGCAAACGCATTTTCCACCAAGGCCGCGCAAATCCCAATGGCACTGTGACATCACGAACGTGCTTTGGCCACACAGTCTGTCTGTCCACACACTAGAAGCAAACATATCACATGATACCGCCAATGATCCAGCTCACCAGCGACACGCCGCGTTTATGCCAGCATGTTTCGCGCTCCCCAGTGGCACGGCGCCACGCAAACGCACTTCCCACCAAGGCCGCGCAAATCCCAATGGCCCAATGGCACTGCGACATCACGAACGTACTTTGGCCACACGGTCTGTCCACACACTAGAAGCAAACATATCACTTGATACCGCCAATGATCCCGCTCACCAGCGACACGCCGCGTTTACGCCAGCATGTTTCGCGCTCCCCAGTGGCACGGCGCCACGCAAACGCAATTCCCACCAAGGCCGCGCAAATCCCAATGGCACTGTGACATCACGAACGTACTTTGGCCACACGGTCTGTCCACACACTAGAAAGCAAACATTAAAACCACCAAAGATCCCGCTCACCAGCGACACGCCGCGTTTACGCCAGCATGTTTCGCGCTCCCCAGTGGCACGGCGCCACGCAAACACACTTCCCACCAAGGCCGCGCAAATCCCAATGGCACTGTGACATCACGAACGTATTTTGGCCACACGGTCTGTCCACACACTAATTAGAAGCAAACATATCACATGATACCAACAATGATCCCGCTCACCAGCGACACGCCGCGTTTAAGCCAGCATGTTTCGCGCTCCCCATGGGTGGCACGGCGCCACGCAAACACACTTCCCACCAAGGCCGCGCACAGTACGACATCGCGAACGTACTTTGGCCACACGGTCTGTCCACAACACTAGAAGCAAACATATCACATGATACCGCCAATGATCCCGCTCACCACAGCGACACGCCGCGTTTAAGCCAGCGTGTTTCGCGTTCCCCAGTGGCACGGCGCCACGCAAACACACTTCCCACCAAGGCCGCGCAAATCAAAATGGCACTGCGACATCACGAACGTACTTTGGCCACACGGTCTGTCCACACACTAGAGGCAAACATATCACATGATACCCCTAATCATCCCGCTCACCAGCGCCACGTCGCGTTTACGCCAGCATGTTTCGCGCTCCCCAGTGGCACAGCGCCACGCAAACGCACTTCCCACCAAGGCCGCGCAAATCCCAGTGGCACTGCGACACCACGAACGTAGTTTCACCACACCGTCCGCCACACACTAGAAGGCACAGCGACATCACGGACGTAATTTTGCCACACCGTCTGCCACTTCTGAGTCCAGCTCCAAAAAGCTCTTTCCCGCGCTACATTTGCACTACAAACTGGCCACTTCTGAGTCCATCTCTGAAAGGCTCTTTCCCGTACTACACTTGCACTACAAGCTGGCCACTTCCGCAAAGGGTTGCACCGGAACCGGACAAATCGCACTCTCGCCTCCATTTCGCGCCCTCGACACGCACGATCTCCGCAGAGGGTTGCGCGCACACCGGACAAATCGCACTCTCGCCTGCATCTCGCGCACTCGACACGCACGATCTCCGCAAAGGGTTGCGCGCACACCGGACAAATCGCACTCTCGCCTGCATTTCGCGCACTCGACACGCGCGATCTCCGCAGAGGGCTTTGCATTTTCGGTTGACGCTGTTCGTCCCACCCTCTGCCTTTAAAGAGAATTTACAAAGTGGGGGAATGTTTTTCATTAAATTAGGATTCTCCCGTGAAAGTTTTTCATACTTACACTTGCATGCTTACACTTGGATACTTACACTTGGATGCTTGCACTTGGATGCTTTCACTTGCAAACTTTCACTTCTATACTTCAGTGCCATTGTAAGTATAGAAGTGTAAGTGTTCAAGTGATTTTCCGGAAGAACCCTTCGCCATGCTTTCGGGAAAAAAGGATGTGCAAATATGCGCAATATTGTGCAATGATACGTTGTTGGAGGGGATTGGCTTTTCATTGCTTTTCATGGCAGCTAGGCTAAGCGCCGACCACGACTTCAGACCTTGGGAGTCTGCTCGTAGTCAAAGTTATAACCTTGACACAAAGTCAGCTGGGCAAAGGGAGCCAGGGAGTCATTGGATGAAATCCACCCAGCTTGGCACGCTTGCCTCTTAGAGCGCCAAGCTGGGGCCCGATGGCAGAAAGCCACGACTGGGAAGCCCTGAACTCATGTCGGGTGGATGCTTTGACTCTCGGGTGGATGCTTTGACTCCAAGTCATGAGCAGAGTTTTCCATTGGATTAGGGGACGTCAATGCGAACCATTGCTGACCAAGACACACTTGTAGTTGATCTTCCTCCCGCGGGCATTCTCAGTCTTGCCATGGGCCCAGTCTTCTTTCAAGGTCTTCTTCTTCCACTTCTGGTCACGCGCAGTCCATCCCACAAAGCTTTTGAAGCCACTCATCGCCTGCAAGGCAAACCACGAATCACCTCCTTGCATCTTGCCCCAGCCGTAGCAGAATTTGGCAAAGGCTTTCCTGTCACAAGAGGCTGACAAATATTTAAACATTGCTAAACTGTCCAACTTGAGAGATTTTCTCCCTATAGAGGGAGCTTGTTCAAAAACCAGGAAAGCTCTGAGTTCACGCAGAGTTTCTCGAGCAAAACTGCCCATAGTTCTTCGCCCATGGGCTTTGCGAAGAGAGGGACTGGCTTTCCATTTTGCAGTCTGCATGGGAGAAATTCATCAATCACGACCGGAGTCCATTTCTGGGCCCCAGCATCATACAGCGAAATGGTATACTTGCCTTACTTGCAGCGTCTCCACTGTAATAAGTGTGTTTAAAAACAACAGGCTTCTTAGAAAAAAGAGCCCCAGGCAAATACGGATAAATGGGCAGGTCTTCCTGCCAAAGACCAACCAGCGTTCTGGAACCGCGGGTCTCTCGAATTTTCAGATACTGCCCCGGGTCAGTACCCAACACGGAGGAGCTTCGGCCCAGTTGACCAAAAAGCGACGGCCCAGTCACCATCGTCGGTCAAATGCCTGGTGGTGAAGAGTTTCTTGACCAATTCAGGGTGACTCGCCGCAGAGGCAATGGCGGCCATCAACCAGCAATCTCCGACCTGCCCTTGCTTCACCTGCAGGTTGCAGGGACGTGTACAGCACTGGCAGAACACACGAAACGTGCAGACATGTCCTGAAGGGGTGGTTTTGTTTGTACGAGGCTCATGAAGGGCGTTCCTCGCCCCAATGCTTCCCAAAACATACGTCAAAGAGTCAGGTGAGACAGCGACTGATCTCTAAACTCAATGGTAGACACAATGAATTAGTAAGGAAAGCGCAAATGAAGTCGCACATGTTTCCTGTCGTGTTCTGTTTCAGTAGCTGGGTAGGAGCCCTCTTACCAGCCTAGCGCGGAGTTGTTGTCAACAGATTTTGCGTATACTTGAGGCCAGAGGGGGTGAACGAAAGCTAGCCGGGCTTCCGGTGGTCTGCTGCTGGTGCTGCTGCTGCTGGTGCTGCTGCTGCCGCTGCTGCGCTGGGCGCTGCTGCGCTGGGTGCTCTGCAGGCGCCGGGTCGTCTGCTGCTGCTGCTGCTGGCGCTGGGTGGTCTGCTGCGGCTGCTGCTGCCGCGGCGTTGGGTATGCTGCTGCTGCTGCTGCTGCCGCCGCTGGGTGGTCTGCTGCTGCTGCTGGTGCTGCTGCTGCTGCTGCCGCTGCTGCGCTGGGCGCTGCAGATGCTTGGTGTGCTGCAGCTGCTTGGTGGTCCCGCTCACCGCGCGCAGGGGGGAGTCGAACCGCGGGGGGGGGGGGGGGTCCATAAGATTGATTTAATCAATTATTTGAGGTTTCTGAGGTGCGTCCACCCCGTCACTTAACTTGCTAAAGCAAGAGCAACTCCAGCTAGCTAAGGCTAGCTTTCGTGAAAAGTTTGATTGACGACTGCGTAAAGAAGAATACTTCAGCCAAAGTGCTAAACACATAATGTATGTTGTCAAGTTTGTTGTTTCTTGCGTCGATTGTGATACGAGTGCATGATGGTACATGCTCCGTCACCAATAGCCAATAGCTGAGCCAAAATATGCTCCCAAAATGGCCCAAAATTGGTATGGCACGCCGAATCTGCCATAATCTGTCAATAAGTAATCAAGTACATTCAAGTACCATATATAATTTATAAATATAATACAATCAATGCGGGATACATACCAGCAAACAACCACCTCAGCACCGAAAAACGTGGTCGATGGCTGGGTTTCTCGAGTTTCTCGAGATCCTCCTTCGGTCGGGTCGCGTCTTGGGGGCGTATCTGGTCGAAGAGTACCGATTCCTGTGGATCGCCAAGCATGCGAGCTCTGACCCACACATCTGCAAGGTATTCCTTGCTATGCCCGCACGTGCTGCTGCCATCGTGAGGAAAGTCTGGATCTTTGAAGGCGTTGGGATCGTCCTGAGTAAGACATCGTCCATCCTCTTCTCACAAACCCACGGATTCGCCCAAAAAACATAAACAATAAACTACAAACGGATTCGCCACCTTGGCCGGTGTTTCGCTGTCTTTCTCAAATCGCCGGGGGGAGGGGAGGATCAAATATCACGTCGCGCAGGATCTCACCGCTGTCGAGTTCACCCAAACCACACCAACTTGACCCCGTAGTTCAGCCCCACGGATCGACGGAGCAAGTCGTGGAGGCGGTTTTCGGATGACCACCCCATACCACCCCTCCAAGAGGGAACGAACAGCCTTCCACGAACAGCAGATCGCTGCAAAAACTGAACGTTTCGGATGATCTTCAAAAGCGGGGGACCTTTGGCTGACCAGAGAAGATGAACAGAATAGACTTCTGGGGGCCCAGTCAACACACCAGGGTCCGTTGAAAGGGTGCCATGATCCACGGTCCACTGCCATATCGCTCTGTCTGTGCCCCTCCAAAAAGGCTTAGCTTACCCGGCTTAGTGGGTACCAGCTTTGCTCTATCTCCTCCGGTCAAAAAAGCCATTGAGCTTGTCTATCTTGTCTTGATAGCGACACAAAAGCATCGTGATCGAGCATCTTCGAGTCCAGCATATTCAGAGCGGCAGGCGACTTCATGAGAGTAGTGGTATGGCTGTCCGGTCACTGTAAGCAACCTTTGCGTTTTGGACAAACAAACAAACAAACGAAGAAACAGCGCATATATAAATGTTGAGCCGTCTGAATAACATTGAGTAACCACAAGCATGATCACAACTGTTCAATCTACAGCCTGGCCTTCCTAACCACGCACAATGCAAAAGAATGTCCAGTGAAACAATCTGAGCAACTTCACTGTTCTCTGCTCACCGGGTTCCAAACCAACTGTCACGGTCTTGCCCTCTGAAAATTCGATGTTTTCGCATCGCGTAAACTCAAAGTAGAACTTCTTCTTCACCGTGAGATTAGTGTTCGTGACGGTGGCTGAAATACTACCTTGCTGCTGAAAGGCCGTGAATCACTGACACATGAAGCGGGTGATTGTTTGGATTTAATTGCGGTGAAGACATGAAACACCAAAATCACTGCAATTTGCCCAGGTGCCTTTGCCATCCGTCACATCTTCTGAAAGAATGCACTTGGGATCTTGTTTGGTGAGCCATGAGATAAATTCATGTACTCGGATGACGCCATCCTTGTTTTGATCCGCCTGGTTGAAGATGTACTTTGACCCCTTGATTCCTGAGAAGAAACATCTCAAAGTGTTCAAACGAAGTTTCTTCAAACCTTAATGAACCTTCAAAGAGGTGTGAATTCCCATAGACCCCTGGGTATCTGGGGGTGGCTGTGCTTTACCAAATAAACCCCTCAGGTGTTCCTGACAAGTTTGAAACTCGCCAGATCTTCTTCGCATCGGCATCAACTCCTCGTCTGATGAATTTCCAAGTTAGTATAGGTCTTGTTACTAGTATAGCTTCTTGTTCCTAGTGGTAAGACCAGGAGCCCCGTTCGTAGTGTCCTTGCTCCTGGTAGCGATGCCAGGAAGCTCCGGTCCTAGTAGCGTCCGATCGCTCCCAAAGACCAAAGTGTTCCTGATGCAATTCTCCACGCTTCCCAGGCATTCAAAGACCTTCGTCATCTCTTCCTCCGACAGAGTTCCTGGGGCATGCGGCATGCTGGAAAGTCCAGATTCCTACTCTGATATGATATATGGATTTGTATTATAATATATGTATATATACAATATATGGACCAATCAAGCCACATCGCACTCCAACAATATGACGCTCCAACGTCCGGTTTTCACCTCCACCGGACCACCGAGCCCTTCACCGCCGCGACCGTTTTCGTGCGCCTTCGGCGTTCGACCGGACGACCCCGCGACGTCCACGTGGATGACTCTCCGTGATTGATCGACCACCGATCTTGAAAGCCTTTGCTGTTTTTTGTGGTGGAAGTGTTTCACCTGTCCCTGCAGCTCAGTTCAACCTCATTCGACTGAATTGGTCATGCAACAACACTACTAGAAATAAAAACAAACAAGCTTTTAGGTTGGACTGGACTTGTAGGGTGTTTTGACTTGCCAAGTCTCCATCACCATTCGCATCATAAGCTTCAAAGACCCGCTGCAAACGTTGCTTGGCGCTGGGCTGAGAAACAGCCATGGCCGCGTTTCGCAAGACACCAGGGCGGGGAAGAGGACTGGCTCACTGGTGAAGGAGGTGGTGGTGGTGGTGGTGGAGGTGGTGGTGGTGGTGGTGGTGACGTGTCATTGAAAGGACTGGGCCAAAGTGGGCCGCCAAAGAGCCGGGCCATGGCCGTCGCGAGTCGAAAGATGACCTCCACCTACTAGTGATGGCCTCCAACCTACTAGCCTCAGAAACGAGCAGTGGTTCAGCAACATCCCATGGTGAAGACATCCCACTGAACATGTCCAAACGCGGGAGGTGAACAATCCTCCCAAAAGAGGTGAACAGCTAAATAAGGACTTGCTCACCTAAAGAGAAGGGTTTTGGGTTTAGGGTAATCCAAGTTTGGACATGTTCAGTGGGACGTCTTCACTTTGCAACCACTGCTCGATTCTGAGGCTAGTAGGTTGGAGGCCATCGCTACTAGGTTGGAGGCCATCGCTATTAGGTTGGAGGCCATCGCTATTAGCAACAAGAAACTACTAATAGCTCCTGGCATTACTACTAGAGTAGTAAGTAGCAAGAAGCTACTAACAAGGCACAGGCCCTAGTAACAAGAAGCTACGCATGGACGTCCCTTCCAATGGCGCCAATCGACGAGCACCCGCCTCGCCGCCACGGCCTTTGGGACGCCCCCGGCCACGGGAACCGTGAGGAGCCTCTGGACGCAGCCGAGGCGAGGGCCACGAAAGGACCCTGTGAAGGATAGGTGAGATATAGTTAGACTACATAAGGTTATATGTGTTTTTTTTTCCAGCTGGTATATATATATATATATAGCCGTGGCTCAAAACATGCCAAAACCTCCCGAGACCCGTCTATATATTACTTAAAAGAAAGACGAAGAAGGTCGGATGTCAAGCCAAGCCATTGCAATCATCAAGTCTGGATCCTTCAACGGTACAGACGAACGACGACTCGGCCGTTGTGGCCCAGCACCCACTCGTTGCCACGAACGTGAGGGTTAAACCAGACGAACGTGGGTTCCAACACCCATCCGCGGCTGGGTCTTCATTCGTTCGGCAGGGAGTAGATGATAAAACACTTACTTGGTGAAAAATACTAGTACTAGCGTTGAATAGCAAGCAACCTAGGGAACTGCTCATGTTTGCTAATGTAATCAAATGTGAACTAATATGGATATGATATATTGTAGAATATGATATATGTATATATAATCATCCTGGAGTAGATAGAATGGATGAATTTTCAAAAAACAATTCACTCCTCAAAAGCGGCCCTTCCAAACCCCATAGATAGAATATGGTTGTAGGGGCTTCTCTTCCTTTTCCTTTGTTGTCCTTTTCCTTCTCTGGTCGTTCTATTCTCTGTTCATTCTAAAGAAAAGAAAAAAGGAAAGGAAAGCTTAGATAATACACATAGGAACACAACATGAGAATAACAAAGGAGCAAATACCAGAATGGGAGGAGTTGATAAGAATCTTATCACTATATTCTATCTATAGGGTCAGTCTTCATAAAATGAAAGGGATGTCAAAAACCCTGAGTTTTTTCAAAAAGAAAAATACCCCCTACGAAAGTAGATTCTATCTACTCCAGGATGATTATAAATAAAAGTATTATAATAGATTATATATAGTGATCCCCAAATAGATAGCAACGGTTTCCAATACATGTTTAGTGGGGATCTACTTATCTATCTATTTGGGGGTCTATACAGTATATGGATGTTCTTAAACTGGCCTCACCGGTGGCCCGACAATGGAAGCACAAATAAGCAGCTCAGCTCAGCGCAGCCTCAACACTGGTTCTTCAAAGTGACCTCGTCCGTCACTTAGGCCTGGTAAAGGTAACTTAGGCACTCCAAAAAATCGAACAGGTCTGAAGAAGCTGGACACTCATGAAAGCCGCCGACGCTTTTGGCGAGAAGTCTTTTGTTCGCCCGGTAAGGCACCTGCAACCTAAAGGACCTTGAGCCGCCCAGAACCAGCACTTGGGTCTTGTGTGGATACCGTGACCAGGTTGTTCGTGTGAGGAGTCACTCGGGGCCAGACTGATCTTGAGTCCTGAAAGGCAATGGCAGAACGAGGACACCTGTCCAAGGGTCAAACATGAAGTCTGACTGACCCCGGCTCTACTTTCCTCTCAGGAATCGACATCACTAGATAGAACAAGGTCATGTCTTCTGAAGCTGGGTGTTCTCACCTGCGGCCCCCGGTTTCACCCCCCCCGCGAAATCGCCGCGAAATCGCCGCTGCGCCTCGGTCGGAAGCCACACATCCTGGCAGAAAGGACCGGTGAACACGAGGAAAACTGCCTCGTCCTTGGGTGAAAGTCACTCAGGTTGTTTTCCCCACAATAGAATTCCCCTCCAACATGGTGAATACCCATGATGTCATGATTAGGTTTGGAGATGCTTCAGGTGGGGTCCACTCAAAAGTGAGGCCTTCCAATAGATGATTACAGCGATAATTGCCTGCAATTGCCTCGTTTTTGTGTTTACTCAGGAATCATCCTTGTGTTGGCCCCACTTGAAAATGGCCGTGGCCACCGCGCGACCAAAAAGATCTTTCAGGTGGCCTCCAACACCCTCAGGCCATGCACATTGGAGACCGTGCTCAGTGGGTTGTAATAGCCTCAGCCGTTCCAGCCGTGGACTCGTCAGGAGATCGAGTCGGGGTCCCACCCAAAGGGGGTCACTTTCTCCGTTGGACCAGCAACGAGGTCCCCCACGGTCCCGCTGGACCTCCCGCTGGACGGGGGGCGACCTCTTTCGGAGTTGATCCCTGCGGCGGAGAGACCTGAGAGACCTGAGAGACCTGAAACCAACAGCCTTTCAGGTCTCGAGAGCACCGACGAGAGTCGGACAAACCTCCCCCAACCTCTTGACGTCCCACTTGCCGTGGCCACTTCTTAGACTGGGCAAAGCGAGAATCCATCACCAGTATCCGGAGTTGGGTGCCGGTTCCGAACGGAGGAAGGAGGTTAGGTGCCCAGAGTCGTCACATCCACTGATAAAAACCACCCCGACATGTGACTCCTGGAAAAATTGGTGAGCCCAAAGTGGATAATTCCCTAGAGCTCCAACCGCTCAGAAGGTGGTTGGAGCCCTAGGGAATACATGGGAATACGTAGTAATAATGTCATGTAATGTCAATCATGCGAATCCCCAAGCAGCTCGAAACTGTGTCTATCGTGGGGACCGATCTAGGGATCCATCCACTTAGTTCCTCCTCCACGGACTCAGCTCTCGACTCAGCTTGGACCAGCTCTCCTCTACCCCTGCGAGACGAACGTTTCCCTGGAAAAGCTGGCTCCGAACGTTCCCGAACGGCCCGAACTGGCTCTTGAAACGAGAAAAAGGCTGGCTCCGAAACTGGCATGAGAACTTTCCACCTGTTCGAAAGTTAAAGGATGTGAAAGGATGTGAAAGGTTATCCTTGCTGGGTAGGGAATCAGGCTCCCCCCTTCTTTTTGGACATGTTTGATGATCATGTTTGTGTGTGACTGGTTTTGGGGCCATAAACTTTCAAAGGGATTGGAACTAGAAGTTCAAAATTTTTGGAAAGGCGTGAAGGGTGGTCGCCTTTCTGAAGAAACCAGAGCATTCTTAGAGACTGCTCTCATCATGTCCCTCTCCAAGGACGCCTCTGAACTCGGCAGAAACGGGACCAGCCTGGCGGCGAGGTCGAGGGTCGCGAGGTCGCAAGGGGGGAGGAAAGATGGAACCCTAGCCCGTTTGGCTTCCAACCACCCATTAATTTAATATAATAGCCTTCTCCAGGTCGGGCTCCACTGTGCCAAATTGATGCCTGCCTAAACTGGCCAGCTTTATAGATGAAAGTTGGAAGATCAAGGTGGAATGGCCTTTCACAACGTCCAGTCTTTCCGTTCGTTGGGTACCCCTTCAATCGTTGCCGAACGGTTCGCCTCGATCGAACGCCTCGAACGCATCGTTTCCCATCGTTTCGGGTGTCGAAGCGTTGGGGGATCTGCATTATTGTTTTGAGGAGCCCGAAACGTAAGGAATCCTAAAAAGAGCTCCAGCGGGGATCTTTTGGGAGGCTCCCCATTCTGAGCACACCTACCATGCACACCTACCATCTGGCACAGGTGGTCTCGGTCGCTGCTCTCGCATCCACTTAGGCCGAGCGGCCGGTCCCACGCCGTCCTTCGCCTTCCGCTTCACCACGCCCTCGAAACGCGGAATCGGACGCGAATCGGGGCGTTCACGACGGGCGTTGGCTCCGAAGAGGATACTGGAGGGCGATTTGGGATGAAACTCACTAATTAGTACAGCTGCCATCTCTCTCACTTCATCTCACTTCCAAGGCGAGGATTTGTCCGGCGCCCACGTCCAAGCGGCTCGATGAAGATCGCAAAGGCCACGCAGCACCAGCTGTGGCTTCTGGCCACGATGGCAAGTCATGAAGAAAAGTGGGGTGTCCAGTCCCAGACCATCCATGGTGCTTATATTTTTATATGCCGGCTGCTTCCAACGGGTCACCAATGGACAACCCCACACTTATAGGTCTCCCTGGGAAGTGCTAGGTACATTTACCCCATTTAAATGACCCCAAGGAAGGTATCTATATATGTAACTGTTCCATACATGGATGGTCTGGGAGTGTACGAACCGTATAGTTTGTCTAAAAGGGTCTACTGAAACACGAGGAACACTGGAACACCCCACACACTTGAAAACACACATACTGTCATACCGTCACATACTGATCAAACCTAAGATGGGGAGCAGAAATGAACAAAACACACTCAAATCTGCATGGGATTTGCATTTGGGGTGCTTTTGCCGGGATGTCTTCCTTCAGGAATCTCTACACATCTCTTACCTCCAGCAAGTGATTTCGAAAAATATATATATATATATATTTAAAACAAAAAAACAAGAACTAGACATGTGACATATCATCACATGCTTTGTGTTGGTTCCACTGCCAAACACATCCCCGAAACTCCCGGGCGGCCCTCACTTTCCGTGCCATCTATATGTAAGTATAGCTTCTCATGTGATGCCCCACCGGTCCAGGAATGCACCAGTCCAGCCCACGGCAACCCACCTCGCACCGGTCCCGCGAACTGGTCCGGAACGGCTCCTGGGAACCCAGTGGAACGGTGGCCAGCCAGGTGAAGGGACTTCCACCTGGAGGACGGACGGACGGCAGGTGAACGGAGGTTGGAGAGCATAAAGGACCTTAGGACCTTGGGACCTTCAAACCAGTGAAACTCCATTCGGTTTATAGTCTTCATGTTTTAAAGGGTTAATATGGTATTATACGGGACGACACGATCCTTACTCAATCGAAAAACAATCTTGTTAAAGAGGTTCAAGACTTGGAGTTACTGAAGTCTAAGGAAACCAAAACAAGAAAGAAAAATCTTCCCAACTGCCAGGGGATGAAACCCAGGAACTAGGAAAATACACATCGATCATACATCACCATATCCGCAAAACCAAGCAATGCAACCGCAGAATCGGAACTCAGCGAGGGAATTCCAAGGCTGAGATATATATCTGGAGAACAAAGATGAACCAAACTGTCCACTCCCAAGAACCGGTGAAAGAATCACTCACGAATCGTTGCACAGCACCTCACTAAATAGGCGGAGATGGTGCCACTCACATCCGCAGATCGAGAGACGGACGTTGGATCAATAAAGGTTGAGAAAACGATAGAAACCGTCTATAGAAAACGTCCTTCAAAGGGTCTATTCTTGCTTGATCTGAGTGCACATTATTCCAGAAAGCAGGAACCCATGCTCTTTCGAACGGTTCAATATGAGAGCGCCTTAAATATGAGGTTTAAACGATATAAACATTCCCCGTATTACAGGCTAAAGGAACCATGGGGGGCCAATCCTCACATCTCCGAACGAAGTACACGATGCATAGCTGGCAGCTGGATGCGCTTCGTTTTGGCCCGAAACCACCTCATTGAGGCCCCATCAGGGCCTTGGTCTCGGTCGCAATCAGGTGCACGTCTTCGGCTGTAATGTCAGAAGTGCTTGCAGAGATTGCCAACAAAATAGTTATACAAATTTGTGCAACATCATCTGTACAACCCCTTTCTTTACATCAGGGTTGCTCAAAAATGGCAGCCTGTTCTTCTATATCAAAGGCTCCCTACGAGTTTACAGAATCTGCCCGCGGCACTATCCACTGACAGGACTGGAGTAGCGCGTTTGGGGTCGGTGAATTTCAATAGCCAACTTTTGTGGCCATTCACCGGTAATATGGCCAGTAGGAGTGGTAGTAAGGCCGGTAGCGCCGGTAGGGCCGGTAGTAGGGGCGGACGTAGGGCCTGTAGCCCCAACGGCGACCCCAACCAATGAAGGCCCTTGCATCCTCGGGCGGACGAAGGACAAGACCAGCGACGACCAGAGAAAAAGGGTTCTTGGTGGATTCTCCAAACAGAAAATATCTGCCACATGGCAAAACAACTAATTCCGAAATTTCAGACAAATAGAAGCGTTTTGACATGACCGAGGGGGAACACTCGCAACACCAAACGATATAAAGCCTTGTCAAAGAAATGCTAATCTATCCACTGCTTCCATTGGTTGAGGAGGCTCCTCATCCTCTCCCCTCATCGCGCCCCACTCCTGCGCTTCAGCATAGGCATATGCATCCCAATCTGCTGGTGCCCACCGGTCTCCCTCATCATGCTTGTCCTGGTTCTCTTCAGTGTCACCTGGTGCTCGCAAGGCGCCTCCAAAACCGTCAAATCCTACCAACATTGGGTTGGTTCACCTTGGTTCACTTGCAACATTGAGGTGGAATAGAACTTACCAAACCCAAACCTCAGCGAGTGACTTACTCGCCCTGACGCTCCTGACACTCAGACAAGATAAACATCAAATAACTGTTTCTCTGCCTTTCTGTCTCGCCTGCTTCTTCCTCCAGTTCCTCGCTTGAAGACGCTGCACGGTCGATCTCTGGGCTGCTACGCTGCTGGCCGTGGCGGCTCGCGTCGCCCTGCGGCAAGCCGAGCCGGGGCGAGCCACGGAAGAAGGGCATCGGCGACCCAGAGCTCTCGGCGCCAAAGAATGCCACGGTCACCAAGAGCAGCTTCATCAGTCACCAACGGAGGAGGCTGGCCAATGACTGAGCGACAAAAGCGCTATGGAGAGGACGGCGAAGCAAAATGTCCTGATGAAACCTCTTGAAGAGCACATCTTCTGCTGCGTTGCAAGGGGAGGCAAACCATTTCCCTTGCTACCTGCAGGTCATCTATTGCAACTTGTAAACAATTGATTCTTCAATTCCCCATTCCACCGGGGAGTTTGCTGGCCATGAAGTCAAGGAGTTTGGAGTGAAAAGTCAGTGTTTCACTGTCTCCCCTTACAGTGGATTGAGAGTAGATGGCACAATCCCCAAAGGGTGGTGGCTTATAAGGAACTCCCATCTAAAAGATCTAAAAGTCATCTTGGGGTTGCCCCATCTACTCTGAAACCACTGTACATGTTGGTGGGATCAGGATACCGACCGGGCAAGACCTACCTGGTGTCGGCTTCAGCCGGCAAGGCAGGTGGACCCGGTCGGGCGAAAATGGTTTTTTGCGCCCCCCAAAATGTCACATGCTGTGACAACCTCCAATATTCTCATTCCTTCCAACAGTCTCCGACCAACAGTCAACAGCCTCACTGCCTCACGTTCCATCTCACAGCATGACATCCGATCTCGTCCGATCTCCACCTCTCGTGCAGAGCTCCATGGGGCAAACCTCTCGTCCACGAGGCGCGACGCGACGCACCGTGCGTTTTTCGGGGTTTCCCGGGTGGGTCGTCCCCCAAGCTGGTCCGGAGGCCCGGACGTCTCAAAGGGGGTGCTGGTATAAACACGGTCGTGTTTATACCAGCACCTTCATGTCGGGGTCACCTGGCTGGTTTCGCCCCAGCCCACCACTAAGAGACCTCCAGACAGGACACCCCGAAAGAAGGTCCAGGTATAATCTGATTGGGATGCATCCCCTCAGTCCTTGGGGCCGATTTGGCAGCCAGGTCAGCTGCTGCAGATCGTCTTCACTGTCTTTCTCCCAGGCTGCCCATCCCAAGAGAACGCTCCGTGCAATACCGGAAACATTAACATCATCATCCCCACCCATACATGGAGCATCTGCAAAGGTCATTTCTACTCAGATCCGACACCAGGGTCTGGCTCGCAGAGTCACCCAAAGGATCACCAGGTTCCAGCTGCGTGTGGAGGAGGGGGTTCGATTGGCCAAGCACTAGCACGTTCGCTTCATGTGTTTTTGTTGTGCCCCAAAACTAAAAGACGTCCAGTCAAAGCAAGAGCTGCCTTGGAGATGTAGAGAGCTCCCACACCTGGATACGGTGTCCAAAGCAAGGCAGGACAGGGATGACATGTAAGAATTCTGCACCAAGACAGTGATGATTCTTGCTGAGCTCGTGGGCTTGACTTGGACCGTTAATGGGTCCAAACTCCACAAAGACTGCCTGGTACTAGTATGGGGACGGAGTCAATTCCTCCGCGTGAGCTTCCTGGAAGCTCCCACCCATTCTGACCATTCTCGCCTTCCACGAGATGCTCCATCAGCGTGCAGAAGCCATCTCCACCGTCTCGCCTGGCGCTCAGTGTCCATCTGGGTGTGTATCTCAATAGGGAGGCACCCAACCATTGGGTTTGGTCTATGTTCCTTCTTTGAGTACATAGCCAATCTATATAAGTCCTTTCCGGAGTCTAAGGAGTGGGAAGAGATGCGGGTGAACTTGACCAGTCGATGTGCTGGTGAATTCGAGTCAATGTCACCATTCCATGGGTCGGTGGCATGCATCCCTGGAAGACTACTGTCCTCTACAAACAGGTTGTCCACTTCAAAGAAAATCAGTGTATTCACAAGACAGTCTGGGAAAGTTCTGTGTGTGTGTGTCTGTGTGTGTGTATGTGTCAAACCCTGTTTCCAAGGGTCTAATTTAAAACAGGGGGACAGAGCTCTCTGATGCTACTCTGTCCAACGAAGCTAGGCATCAGAGAGGGAAGCATCCACTGGCCATGGATGTGTACCTGCTTTTAACGGTTGAACAAGTTGTGCAATTGACCTTGTTTGCTTTCATGGTTCTTCATGATACTCCCCCTAAACCTTCCCACCGCGTTCTTGCAACCGAGCCACGCGTTTTCGTGAGCGTTTCGTTTTAGTGCTTTCTGCAGACTTCAAACCAGTTTGTTCAAACATCTACAAGTTTTGCGGACTCTTCACCTTACCGTTCTTCACCTTCCTTCCCAACGTGGCAATTGAGTTAACTGAAAACCAATGTCAGAGTGTGAGCCGCTCAGTCTTCCCACTTGGGTGCTGGGTGTGACCCTCCGAAAGGAGGCGCTGCTATCATGCCGGAAAGCATCGATCTTTCATTCTTATAACTGACCCTTTGTTGTTTCACTTTCATAACTGAATTAACGGACTTTTGAGCCGCCGGGCCAAAAAACGGACAATCTCAACCACCGAATCCAGAGCCGCCGGGCTATAAAACGGTAATCCACCCGCAATGAGGCAGGTTTCCCAACCCCCCCCCCAGCCGAGTTCTACTCCCTACCTATTTAGGGCAACATAGGGAAATGGTACTCGACACACTTGTGTGTCGGTGCCTTTCCCTGTGTTGTTCCTGTTCTAGTCTATCCTACCCGGGCGGTCTAAGACTAAAGTCCCGCTCCCTAACTAGTGCACCTAATTCACTTCGTCTAAGTATTCAGTAATTCTAGAGTGCTAGGTATTCAAACACACACACGTACACACACATGGACATACACCCCCTCCCTGCCCCCCGCTTTCCTTCTTGCGTTTTTCGTCGTTTGTTGGGCTTTCTTTCAGGCTTTTTAGGTTGTTCTTGAGGTTCGTTTCCCTACCCCAGTCAAGGGCTAAGTATTCACCTTTTCATTTTTCTACACCTATCTTTCTCTCTTGCCCTCTTAGCGCTGCTCTTTCTGTCTTTCTTTCTTTCGTTTCTAAGGCTTTTTAGGTGACTATTCAGGTCTTTCACATGCGCGCCGCGAAGCGGCACCGTGTGTGTGTCAAACCCTGTTTCCAAGGGTCTAATTTAAAGCAGGGGGACAGAGCTCTCTGGTGCTACTCTGTCCAACGAAGCTAGGCATCAGAGAGGGAAGCATCCACTGGCCATGGATGTGTACCTGCTTTTAACGGTTGTACAAGCTGTCCAATTGACCTTGTTTGCTTTCATGGTTCTTCACGATACTCCCCCTAAACCTTCCCACCGCGTTCTTGCAACCGAGCCGCGCGTTTTCGTGAGCGTTTCGTTTTAGTGCTTTCTGCAGACTTCAAACCAGTTTGTTCAAACATCTACAAGTTTTGCGGACTCTTCACCTTACCGTTCTTCACCTTCCTTCCCAACGTGGCAATTGAGTTAACTGAAAACCAATGTCAGAGTGTGTCCTTCCATGCCCTGAACCCCAGGACAGGTGACCTGTCGGAGGACGGTCTTCCAAACAAAAATTAAAGATGAAAATGAATGTGTGTCCTCAAGAAATCCGGCTGCTATGAAGTGTCAGCGTGGAGGTTCCAGCATGCCATCTCACGTCTATCTTCTGGTGGCAGGCAAGAATGGCAGCTTGCGGTATGACTGGGCGGAGTGATCCAAATGGATGTTGGTGTATGAGGGAGACCCGCTCAAATCATTTGGCCAGGGCTCACCAAACATCCAGGTACCCCTCACCCCATGTCCATTTTTTCCCCGCCCACCCGATCAATGGAAAAAGACATGACGAACTCGTCCACCTTCCCCAGCTCCGGGGTCCAAGTGTTGTGAGCCACATGGTCAGCCCATCGCCAGTAGGTTGGAGGCCATCGCTACTAGGGGTGGAGGCCATCGCTACTAGGGTGGAGGCCATCGCTACTAGGATGGAGGCCATCGCTACTAGGGTGGAGGCCATCGCTACTATGGTGGAGGCCATGTACTGGAACGAGTTACACTCGAAATAATGATGGGAGTGGAGTTCAGTTCAGCCCTATATGGTATTATATCCAAGGGGCCATGTGCCACTTCCATTGAGTATTTCAACCAGGAGTGCATGCACGCGTTAAGCACCTCTGATGGCAACACATCCCCAAAAAATAAGACTTGCATAGACTTGCCCCCGGGTCCGATGGGTATCCGTGCCTTGCCTGGCAGACAAATCGGCGTGGTTCTCGATCTCTGAGGGATGAAGAACCAGTGGCACACCATAGAAGCAGCAAAGGTTGATGCCTCTTCCAGGCGTTCCGGACTGGATAGAACACACCCTCTGGAAGGCACACACCCGGTGATTGGACTGAGGTACACCATTAGGGTCCCAGTACCTGATTTCAGGTATGTGGATTAGCGTTTCAGATTCTTCATGGTTCGTCTCGAATGACCGCAGAATAGGTTGGAATGCATCTGTGTCGAAAAGAGGGCGGCTTCCTGACTGACCCAAATATGGAAAAGTGGTGGCGCGTAACAGCATTGGGGAGGGCAGGAGTAGAGAACTTGAGGCCAAGGGGGGGGCGAAAGCTAGCGCTCCAGAATGGGAAAGTGGAGGGCAGCGAGGTAGGAAAAAACACGGCGCTCTTTTTGGAGGCAGGGGTGAAGAGTCCTTATATGTGGCTCTTTGCCCGGATCCTCCTGCGAGAGGAGAGAGAAGAGAGACGGAAAGACGAGAGACAGAGAGGAGAGAGAGAGAGAGAGGAGAGAGAGATGAGAGAGATGAGAAAGAGATGAGAGAGATGAGAGAGATGAGAGAGACAGTGAGACAGTGAGAGAGTGAGAGTGAGAGTGAGCGAGTGCGGCCGCAAGATACGCAACGCTAACCGCATGCCAAAGAGCGACGACAGGACGGAGTCGAACTTGCGAAGAGGGAGGAGGGAGGGAGGGAGGGAAGATGGGAGGAAGACAAGGAGGAGGAGAGGGGAGGTGGGGAGAGGGGAGGTGGGGAGACCTGAAAAATCAGGGGTTAGGATTTGCACCCGGTCGAAAGAAACCTTGCTATCGCAAGAGTAACTCCAGCTAGCTTCGCTAGCTTTCGTGAAATCCTTTTGTATACTTATTGTAATTAGTTCAGAGAGGGTCCTGATGGCTCATGCGGTC